CAGGTGGTCCCTAACGGGACCGTCTGAAAGCCCTTGAATGAAGATTGTGATCAATACAAACTCACCCACAGGGTTCACTACCATGCAGCTTGCAAGGTAGCGTACGTGCTGAGCGTAAGCGTGAACCTTACGCTGACCCTGTTTGATTCCAAGGAGTTCAGATACTGTTCTGAAATCGGCTTGGGCGGCTTGAACGTCTCACTGAGCAGGGTCTTGAAGACATCGAACGACCCAAACACATTTGGGTCGTGCAACTTGAGGTTCAGGACCCAAGCTCTGAATTCTCCTACCAGGTTAGACTGAGCGAATGAGACTTGCATTCGCTCATCGTTGATGCGACGAGCATCGATGGCATCGTCTAGCTCGACGAACCATATCAACAGGGAGTCTTCCTCGACACCCCGATATATGAAAAACCTCTAGTTTTAGAGACTCCCGTCGACGCTCACGCGTCGGCTCTGCAGACTGAGATTGTTGTTGTCTCAGTGCTTCGGGTCGCTGGTGATCTTGTTGTTGTAACTAGGTCACCGAAGCTCGCGACTCATCTAGTTCTCGTTGCAAGAACTTGCTAATGACGGCATGTTGCTGGTCCCTATCCCTTGAGGATAGCATGGCCCATATGGCTTCCTCGCCAACGGTCGAACTCATTCGTTCGATCGCAATCCATTCGATGTCAATCAAATAGGAATAGCTTTCACGGGTTCCGTGAAAGCTGTCGCCGTCTACATCGTCCAACATGTTCATGTTGGGTGATGGAGTTGTGGTCCTTGGACGGACTACAAAGTGCTACCAGGTGTAACGGGGCACCGACAACTACGTACTGGTCAACCAGTACGGAGTTTACTATCTCTGACTGTAGTGAAAGTCAGTGCCCAGCTAGGTGTAGAACTACACAGAGGAAGGTAGAACGACTAAGGTGAAAGACTCTAGTCGTAGAAAAAGTAAAACTGTATTAATATAATTAAGACCTATAACTCCTTGAATCTCTGTAGTCCTGACTTAATTAAACTAATGTAACTATATGTATGATGACGTCTACTCACCACCCATTGCGCGCGTCTAGCAGCGATTGGTGGGTTGATGTCATCACGATATCAACCAATGAGTAGACCCTTCGGTCATCCCAACAATATCACCATGTCTTGTGATATTGTTAAAAGAATATTCGACGTAATATTCTTTATTGTCAGATTGTTTTAAATGACAATCTCATGTAACGGGCTACCACGTTACACTGTGTGGTAGCAAATACTGCGTGCTCATGTACACAGGGCAGTCTCAACTAAGGCGTGCGAGACTGCCTTTGCTTATTGTGCGAAGTCGAGAAACGATGCAGTGTGATTGAGTGCACTCACTCTTCCCCTTTGATCGGTCTACGTACCGTTGTGATCGATGTTACCAGATTGACGACGACCACTACGTGCGCCATTCAGAGTGTTGGTCTCATATCGGGCTGAAGTGTGTGTAGACCTTCGCGTGGCTTGACTTGCTTTGTAATGTAAGTACGCATCTTTTCTTCGTTGCTCCTTCAAGCGACGGAGTGGACCATTGCTGTGTGTCACCTGCTACCAGACGCCAGCTGCGCTAGCTGTTCGCAAAGCCAGTAGACCGTCTCTTGTGCAAAAGTGCAGCTTCTTGGGGCTCAAATCGAAAGAGGCTCTTACTAAAACACGCTATGTCTCCTTAGTCGCGAAAGAGCTTGACACAATTGACTTGACACACATTGCCTCGTTACCATGTAGACGAGGTGTCTCAAGATTCGACTTGAGTGCAACCCTTGTCGTGATGGCGCACGTTAGCGTTGGTAGACAAAGACTAGACGAGCACGTCTCACGTACAACGTCACGTCGTCCAAATCGGTTTACGACAAGTTCTGCAATTCTCTGCAATAGACTTCCTGAGCAAACTACGCTTCCTTGCAGGCGTGAAACGAACTTCCTTCGACGATCAAAGCACTGGTAGTGATGCGAGCAGCTGCCCGACGCAAGTGACGGACCAAAGAGAGGACCGGTTTATGACATTAGCCACTGCCACTATCAATACAAGCTAGAAGACAAGATAGACCCTTCGCGATGCGTGTAGCAATTGTGACGCTGGAGAAGACTAAAAGTAGAATAAATGGTCATCGCGCCAGAGGTGTGCAGAGTATGCCAAGTGATCAGCTCCTCGCAAGTGAAAAAGATAGATGTTGCTACTTCATTGTCGGTCTCACCTAAACCTAAGACGAGATATGCTCGTCTGCAGCTTGGCCTTTGCGGTCTCTCCAGTGTAATTCGCTCACACATTGCACTGATACGTAAACTACTGACGAATACGAAAGATAAAAGGTCCGAGTTGTTTCATAAAAAACAATTAGTCACGTGACTAAAATCCTTGCACGATCGACGTCTCCTCTGTACGCCGACGATCTACCGACTACAAAGTAGCGCTACACCGTCATGTCTCCGTACACGACACGTAGACGCAGCCATCCACCTGGACGAGCTTTGCCAGCTTAGAGACACTTAGTGAGCGGCAGGCATGCCTCCCATAGCTGCTGCATCGTTCTTGGGTACCATGTGTGTGAAGTGGCCATGAATCAGCCATCCAATACCAGCCAATAGCAGAATGCCACCAATGATCTTGAAAATGGGAAAGCCTCTCTCTTCGCTTATCTTCACGATGGCGTCCAGCTTTTCTTGACGGGCACGAGATAGCGCGACTTGGTCCGCCACTTTCGCGCTTGGGGCCCCCTTGGAGTGAAAGCGCTTCGATTTGTTGTCCAAGGGACTGGAGTCCAGTAGATTGGACGTCCATGTGGTTGCCGCCTCCGTCACGAAGACGGTGAACTTCGGCGACTTTGTGCTGACGGCCTACTTCCGAGTTGCCATCCGCATTGGTCAGGCTGAAGCAGCTTGAGACAAAGGTAGCAACGACGAGGGCGACAACGACGCGGAATATCATCTTGACCGAATGACGAGTGTTCGGGTCGGCGGTAAATTGTTGAATGAAGCAGGTCAGAACGGAAGCAAAGTCAATTGGCCGGAGGGCATCGAGCCGTGTCTGCCAGACGTTTCCCGATCCAATCGCTACATCCTGATATCTAGGCTTCTGCTCAAGTTGAATAGAAGCCGAGCAGTCGATGGTAGGTAGGTCCTACTTTATATAATTCTAGAATGTAGTAAAAAAAAGCCTGGTGTCTGGACGGATCTTCTCATATGCCTACAAGAAGTCTTCAGTCTGCGTCATCGGGACAACGAGAAAAACTCAACAGTATCCGATACTTGTGCTGTGTTGAAGATGTGACCACTCACTTGGCTAGGATAGAATGGTTGCTGGCGCTCTTATAGACAATGTTGCGAGAGGACCGAGATGGACGCGACGTTGCGGTAGCTTCTAGCGTCGAACCCATAAACAGTTCAGTTGCTTCATGATACGCTGCTGCATGGCTATGCGTATTGATGAGCAGCAAAAGGGCCACTCCTGCGTGCTGACCAGATCAACCGAAGTCGATTTGACCGTTGCAAACAACTGGATTCTGATACATTCACGAGCAGTAGTTCCCCGGATCAGCTCGTCGCCAGGTATTTCTCGTCGCATCTCTTGTTTACCATTACGACGATCACATTGTTTTGTCTTTCAGCTGCCTGAGATAGAACAGCGGCTGTCTCTAGCATTTAAACAGGACCACGCGGACCGCGGAAGTCCCCGGCCTGCTCCGCCTCGGTGGGAACGAAACACTTCGTAGTGCTGAGGATGTAAATGGTACGCTTGATCAAGGCGCGCTATTTTACCCAGCCAGTCAACCGCCAGCTTATCAAAAGGGTCTGCGAGTACCACGTAGCCGATGCAGTCAGTTTTCGCTCACACACTGGCTTGCTCGAACCTGGGCTGACAAGCCTCGGTAGTCGTGTCATTTGTTGATGCCGTACGCCTTACTCATGGAAAATACTGTGCGATACAGCAGAATGTGAGACTGAATGCATCTCACTCCGAGCGCACCGAGTCTTGCAGACACATGCGTAGCTGTGGTCTATAGAGTCCACTTTGTCCAATATCGAACTTGTATGTACATGACAAGCACAGCGTTATTGAAAGGACCACATGTCCACGTTGAAGCAACGCGAGTCGACAAGATTTTGCTCGTGCCTGGCTTTGACAGGTAACGATGCGACCGCAGCATCTTCTTCCTCCTCTTCGTACTCCCGACAGTCCATGCCAAGACTAGTTGACAGTAGATCTACACAGTGTTCTCGATGAAGAGAAGAGAAGATGTTGACACCATGCCAAACGTGAACTCTCCACGCAAGTAATTGTGGTCTCTCACTACTGGTCAGTATGGCGAACATTTCTGCACATTGGCCATTGTCACAGTGCGCTACATTACGTAGCTCTGCACGTCCAGTGGTCTCTCGGTGTGACCAGCGACAAACTGGTCTTTGCCGCAGGGTGAACTGAACCGCTGTCTCTGTCATCGTCGTCTGCATATGCCAACATCCCAAACGTCAGCACTATATCTGCCCGACTTCCTTTCCAAGCGCCCACCTCATGTGTTAACGGACGGCACTGCTAGAAAAGAAGCCGAATGTGTCAACGCCGACTCGTCTGCGACGGTCTGCGGAGGTCGAGAGTCGGGCCACTTCTTCCTGCAAGAGGGAAGATACCACTATCGGAAAGTTACCCTCCTTGTCCGTTGGCCTTTTGGTATGGTGCTTCTTCTCTCGTGCAGCTGCCACAGCATCTTGTGTTCGCGGTCTGGCCACTACTTGGCGTGTGACCGTTTTCATGCTTGGCCGGTTTCTTCCCAAGCTTCTTGTGTCGACTGTTGCGAGTAGCACGTGATCAATCTCGTGCGGCGAGCATCCATTAGCGTCTAGTAAGAATAGTCGATCTGCAAACTTCGGTGGCTTCTTGAACAACTCGGACGAAGCGATCTGCATCAGCTCTTCAAACTCTTGTTGCTTTTTCCTTAACGCCAGCGCATCCTGACCGTCTCCTTTTGCCACTGCTTTGCACCTCGTCTAATCGATATCCTCTAGAGCTGCCTCACGTTCAGCCAGTGCGAGGAACTTGACCACGGACTGCCCCGGTGCCAGGTCCTATACCGGAAGGTCAAGCTGAGGTAGTTCTTTGTTCTGCAAGGTGTCACATAAGTCGAGGACGCGTGCACTGACCGACTGCTTGGGATCACGCAAAGCTTCTTCTCGCACTGAGGTGTAAAATCTGAGCAACGCATGGAGCAAAGTCTCCTGCTCTTCCCAACGAAACATACCGTCACTTTGGTTCAACCGCTTCTTGTGTGGAGTTGCGATCCGACGGCGCATTCTGGCTGAAAACTCGGTATGCAGTCCTGCGAGTCCAAAAAAGTCGAGCACATCAGCACGTGGTCAGTCAGCGACACCAGCACCTCGTCGGATGCTCCGTTCTCGTCTCGTCTCGTTGAGCGAGCAAGTACGTGTTTCTACGTGATACTAGCTCCACTACAAGTGATAATGCACGCGGCGTGTCTCCATCGTCAAGCAGAAATTCATCTACGTGCACTCGGGTCGTGAAAAGTGCATCCAACACTTGAAAGTCTTCTTTCTCGCAACGCTTTGACTCAAGTCCCAAAAGCAAAACAGCATTACAGCTAGAAATAGTATAGTCATTGCCGTATACCATGACACTTCGGAAGAAACCTCGAAGTCGATCAACAATTGCTTCGGCATCCCGAATCCGATCCTCAGAGTACACTAAGTTTCTTGCGCGATAAAGACGACGAGCGTCTGCAGAGTGTCCATCCTCCGAGAAGTCCTTCACTCCAATGAAGTTCTTGAGCGACTTCGACATCTTCCGTCCACGAATGTACAAGTGTCCGAAATGCACGAAGTGTTTGCACCACTCTCCGTCGTGTCCACAGCTGTAAGTATGCGCTTCACACTGCGCGATCTCGTTATTGTGGTGTGGAAACCGGAAGTCCACTCTACCCGTGTGCACGTCCAACTTATCCCCAAGCACGTAGTGCGTCATTGCCGAGCACTCGATATACCAACCGGGTTTCCCCACTCCCCATGGCAATGACCACGCCGGTTCGCCGTGCGTCTTTGCTGCTTTCCACAGTGCAAAGTCTCTCTGATCCTTCTTCAGATTGTCTGCTTCATCCGCAACTTGACTCTCCTCCTCCACTGTGGCTGCCTGCATCGAAACACCCTGTTGCGCTTGCCGCCTCGGGTCCAGTTTGCCGTAGCGAGTTCCCAACTCCTGCGTACTGAAGTAGACTCCAGAATCGTCTCAGCTCAATACGCGAACCCTTTTCTCATAATCTCATATATGTACCAGACGATGTCCGGCAAACGCTGATTGACTTTTGTGATGGCTGTCGTGAGCTTCACTTACAAATTTACCGTATTCGATAAGCAAATGCCGTGTAAATGCTCTTAGCTGACGCAAAAGTAGGTTTAAATGTCAATCCCGAGGGCGTCGATTCGTATGAGCTGCGCGGCATCAACGCTCGCTTACTCATTTCAGTGAGCTTGCGCATCACATCATGGATACAGCACGACGTTGTCGATTGAGGGTCGACGAGCTCAGCGTGACGAGATGTAGAAAGCTTTCGCGATGATGTATGTACAACTTCTTTTTTTGGTATTTAAATTGGGGTACGCGAGCCGATTGAGGCACTGTCCGAGGGCTAAAGTTGGCCATGTTTCGGCTTCACTTTTAACTAAGTTCTTCATGACATAAAAGGGATGTGTTTAAAATGGGCAAATTGCAATTTCGTTTTATTCGAAATATGTACCACAAAAATCTTAAATTTGAAGCGGCAGTTTGTGGATCTCGTCTTTTACAACGGCAACTTATTTCCTTTTGTAAGAGTGCCTGCACACCTTTTGTTTTTACACATTCTCAATCTAGACGTTTAGTGTTGGGTGTAAGAAGCCAATTCCATTGACAATAAATCATGTGTCAGTGTGTATAGTAATAGGCGAATAGCTTTCGGCAATGTTATCTTAGCAGACAACATAAATGGATGTATTCTATAAAGGCTTTTTCTGGGCAGTTTTAGATTTATAGGCACGATTTAGATAATATGACCTTGGCATGTAATGTTACATCAGAACACGCTGCGCATCACTCGAAATCGGCCATTCTATTATATAAAATGTCAGAATCATCTAGCATACGCGTGTAGCGACGAACGAGAAGGAAATTAGACTTCAAAGTATCAGTCAGTGTAAAGGTCTAAACACGGCCTACGCTACTGACATTATATGCAGTGTAGTGGCCAATAATATGTTACTAATCTTTTTTGACAATGACAAAGATTGAAAAGCTTTAAGCCTTACCTATTTTATAATCGCTACGCGCTGGGTTTTGCAGAGCACCTGTGTCTTGCCCCCTCCCATGAAAATGGCGACCCATTGTATCAAGAAGTTATAGGTTTATTTATAATTAAAATTATACGGTATAAGTAGATCCGGATTGCGGATACTGCGCGGTTATTATTGGTGCGCCAGACCTAATTTTTCGCTAGTAATATAAAGGTCTACATTTGAGTGGTTTCCATGAGCTAGAGAACATATTCGCACCTATCGAGAATTATAATGGACAAATATATACAGACTTACGTTTACCATATAGATAAGAGCGCTTCCTCAAAGCTTATAGATCGTACAACAATAACGGGGCTCTCACCTCATTATACCTGGTAGCACTGTGTAGTCCTTCCCATGACCAGGCTCGTGATGAACAATGCTTATTACATGATAGCTCCAGCGGTTTTGCTTAAGCATGCAGACTTCCTTCATCTAAACACTGTAAAATGGCAAGCTTTACATCGCCTTGCGATGGTGTCTGATTTTTAGTAACGTCGAGCCGAGCCCAGCGACACCCGAGAATCACTGTGCCGCCATCCAAGACTACATGATAAGGGAGAACGCTGAAGCGAATTGGCGAATACAGAATCTTGTACGCCCCTCCCATCTAGATGCAATTAGAATGGAGACATCAACTTAATCCAATGATGTTCCGGTCGACTTCCCTTCTGCCGCTGGTTTAGGAAGATTAAATATGCGATAGTGTCAAGCCTTATTGATGCTCCGACGGCTAAGGACATTTTTCTGCTGTCTTGGCTTGTTGTAGTCGCAAAATATGGGCCTTCGAAGAAGCTCGTCATGATTAAGTCGCCGTCCACAACGCTGGAAGACATCCAGCGCGATTTGCGACCGACATTTAAGCCTACCCAAGATGAGTCGCGCCAGGGTGCATACCCTTTTTTACTTCAAAAATGCAAATTTTCGATGCGTGAATACGTGCAGAAAACACGACATCTTGCTTCGTGTATCATCAGGAAGCCGATCGGCATGGCTTCACAAGTCCATGTCTTCATCATAGGTATGCAAGAAGGCATGGCGCGTTTGTGTCTCACACTTGCTTCCCCGACGATTCTCTATAAGGCAGTTGCCCTCAAGCTTGGTGAGTGAAGAATACACTGTAGCTATATCGTACTTGTACGCAGCGTCGCAACGTCCGCGAACATCTGGCCACTAGCCATGGATATTCATACAATTAATGCATCACGTGGTCGAGTCAATTTATATAGCTGCGACGTTCGTAGTCCGAACACGATGTAGTGCTTATGATGCGGCGAGAGAGGATATCTTTCAGCCTTCTGCTGCTCACCAGCGCTGGTACCACGGAAACATCTGTTCCACGTGTAGATGTTATGTCGTACGTGGTCCCGCCAACATAAGAGTCGTACTAGTAGGCGCGAAGAGGGGTCTACTGGTAGCGATGAAGATCTGAGTAAATGGGGGCAGCTTAGGCTTCTAGCTATGATGTGAAACATACTCACTTTTATCTTATTACTATGCGCGAAGATTCGAGACCGAAAATATTTGGTCTCACTGATGCTGGAGTTAAACGACCATTTCGAGCGTTCTTGGAATCGGGTTCATCCAAAAAAAATTTCGGGCATTATGTTTGTCTATTTTACGGCTACTATCACGGTTTATATAGGTTCCAGGTTAAATGGTTGTCGTACTTGCTATTAACCAAACATAGCGTGTCCCGCGAAAGTAGCGATTTTGCCGTACACGATTGACGATTTCCAAATCGCTAAAAATATCTGGAGTAAGGACTGAACCATACGTTTGATTTTAAATTAGCAAAAACATGGCTGTCATTTTGTTAGCGGAAGATGGATTGGCTAATTTGTCTATCTATGACGAAGCGGATATGGCGTGAGTGAAGTTTTCACTAATTTGTTGGTCGCGTGAACCGGTACCTTTACGTCAGATTCGTGAACCAAGTCGCCTCTACTAAAAGTCATCTAAGAGAGAAAGAAGGTCATTTGTGCTCGAAATGCTCAGTCACACTTATATAAAGCTAAATGAGGCTGCAAGCAAAGATTTTACAAACAAAGACATCGGTGGAGCAAAATAATTGATTGACGAGGAAGCGGTTCCACAAACACGGACATCGGTCGAATAGGGTTTCCCCCTTTCTTGCGATTTGTTCCAGTAGGGATCTTGTATATAATCACTTCGGCCAAATTATGTTTCCAATCGTAAGCGAGTAAATAGGAACGACTACCGCATACATCTGAGGCGGCCGGCAAATAGCTCTTACCTTTAATTGACGATAATGAGCGACCTGTGCATCAGAATAAGACCGACGTGATGGAGACTGAGCTTCAACGTCTAGAGAACTGTATATCATCATCTAGCGATATCGACAAGCAAGTCTTATGCAGTGGATCGAAATGCAAGATAAAGATAACGCCGATCGCCGAGACGAAGCGACTTTCGTCGATGTGATGACGAAGACGAATCCGTATTTTTGCTAAAATATGTATAAGGGTCTTCACATTGTAGCAGCTACATACATGTAACGAGCCCTCCGTGCAGTGCTGTAGAGATCACATCTCTATCAGCCCTACCGTTAAAACATCTCTTCATGACACCGGGGCCGGGGAATTCGAGCAATTGAGATTCTATTTGCCGCCGAAGCAGCTTGTGAAAATGTTCTGGAGGCTTTCCCGTTGATATTTGAGCCCAAATTAGCACACGAATAACAGTTTTTAACACAGTCCTGGAAACACTCCGTGCTTCGGTCAACCCTGTTTATAATAACGCTCACGAGTATGCCGAAATCCTTTTGTAGTAATCCCCTGCCAAGCTTTGAGTGAATCGTGGAGTGCGGCACAAGATTAATCTCAAGCCAGGGTCGAAGTATTGCGTGACATGTCAGTGGCCGTTCTCGCTTGATTAAGTCATCGCAATTGAATAACCTAATGGGGACCGCCGTAAGGCTGGACATGTTTGCGAGAGTATCTAGCCGAATTTGGTTAAGCGTTTCTGTGTGATTAAAGTCACCGACGGCTAGCGCGATTTGCATTCCATAATAACCTGAATGGCACCACTATCCTGGATCGAACGCCCATTCCATGCAAAGACGTGGTATTGGATATCATATCCGACAGCCAAATTTTAAGTGCCATCGACTTGATAGACGAGCCTCATTAGATTCTACTGAGTTATAATATAATTCTATTTATGCTGTAAGAACCTCAAGAGGATGCTATGGGAGTGGCTTGTCGATCCAAAACGCCTTGAGAGTGCTCCATATATTTTTTTCGTATGGTGCTACAATCACTTCGTCCGCTACTTCGACGACATTTTCGATAAAAGTCGTACTGAGCAACAGCTCAGCGCCACAATTGACCACCCTCGGTATTTGCAACATGTGTTATAAGTGACACGTGAGAATATATTATACGCAAGTAAAGAAGTGTGTTGTTTATGCCTTCGAGATCCACAGTATTTTCGGTCACAAGGCTAGCAAGGAAGGTGTCCATGCTAGTTTTAGGATTTTGTCTCAAATAGTTTCTGGCCTATGCACAGATACCAAATTGAACTTTGACTTAGGATCAGCCTGGCTAATTAATTACATAAGTATACGAAAAATTATGCCAATATTTTAGCCATTCTCAAATTTGCTGAATAGATACGCAATTTTGTTATCGAAGG